TCCACCTAAGGTCCCAGCGGCGGAAGTCGCATGGCGCCGCCGCCCCATTTTGGCACACCCCTCACACGTTTCGTGGCCACATAGGGAGCTCCACCTAAGGTCCCAGTTGCGAAACTCGCATGGCGCCGCCGCGCCCCATTTTGGCACACCCCTCACACGCTTCGTGGCCCCAAAAAAAAAAAAAACAAACAGGAAAAACAAAAAAAAACATAGGGAGCTCCACCTAAGGTCCCAGTTGCGAAACTCGCATGGCGCCGCCGCGCCCCATTTTGGCACACCCCTCACACGCTTCGTGGCCCCATAGGGAGCTCCACCCCAGGTCCCGGTGGCGGAACTCGCATGGCGCCGCCGCCCCATTTTGGTACACCCCTCACACGTTTCGTGGCCCCATAGGGAGCTCCACCTAAGGTCCCAGTGGCGGAACTCGCATGGCGCCGCCGCCCCATTTTGGCACACCCCTCACACGTTTCGTGGCCCCACAGGGGGCTCCACCTAAGGTCCCAGTGGCGGAACTCGCGTGGCGCCGCCGCCCCATTTTGGCACACTTTGCGTAAGCAGCTGGAGCAGTTTGCGGCGCGCACGAAACGGTGCAGAAGGGAGGCGACGGCCCTCGCCAGGGAGATGGGCTTCACCGAGTTTATCCGCGAGGCTTGACCTGAGGAGCGGCCCGCCCGAGACTCGCCGTCTCTCGACGGTCTGACTGTTTGGCCTCGCGCCGCGGGCGATCCGCTCGCGTCGCTGGGACCCTCTCGGGGCGACCAGCGCGCGTCGCGGGAATTCCGCGCTGCGCTCTGCCCGGAGCCTCGCTCGCCCCCGTCGTCGCTCTGCCCGGCGGCCACAGTCTTGCCCGCTATCACCCAGCCAGCTAGCACTCTCTCTGCTCCGCGCAGCGGACGACCCTCGCGCGTCGCCAGGACCCCTTCGGGGCGACCAGCGTGCGTCGCGGGGACTCAGCGCGGCGCCGCGCCCGCAGCCATGGACATCGGCGTGCACGGGCAAAGAGGCAGAACAAAAAGGGGAAGGAAGCGGGCGCGATCCTCGTGAGGGGCGTGCCGACATGGGCGTCGACATTGATGCACGTAGACTGATTCGCACGCAGACACATTCACAATCAGACTTACTCGCGCTCAGGCTCACCCGGTCTCAGTCTCGCGCACTCAGAGCGATCGTCTTTGTTCGTATTGGGGACCCCGCCACGCATTTCGGCACGCCCCCTCACACGGTTCGTGGCCCCATAGGGAGCGCGAGCGAAGATGAGATCCACAATCGCGGTATTCACAACTGCATATGGTTGGGTCCTTCGCCAGGCTAATTTGACATGGGCGACGGCGAGGCCATCAAACTTACCCCGCGTGTGCAGGACCACCATCCCTGAAAAAAAACACATGCGAAGCGCATGCTGCGGCAGAGTATTGCGTAGGCCATGCGGGGGCGGCCCGTGATCATATTGCATTGTAACTTGAAAGGGATTATGGGGGTGGTCTGCCACGCGGGGCGCACCTTGTGGGCGTTGCGCACCTGCCTGGCGTCTGCATCGGCGGCTCTTGCCCTGTGCTGAGACTCGGGCAAGGCAAATCGGCACCGCCCCCGAACAAATCTGCTGGCCTCCAAGATTCCCCTCAGACGGTCCGAAAAGCATTCAAGACAGCGCCAGGAGGGGCCCAAGAGGCCCCCCAAAGTCTAATGGGGCCTCAACGATACGCCCAATAAGCCCCCAAGAGTTCGCAAGAGGCCCTAAGAGCCCCCCAGACTCTCCAAGAAGCCCCCCAAGAGCCGGCAAGATGCCCCCATGACGCCTGACAAGAGACAACGCATGTAACCCAAGCAGGCACCCCAGAAGGGCCTCTGGCCCACCGAGGCTCCTCGACGTATCCCGATAATGGCACGCTCCCCCAATGAGGGCAACTTCCCTGGGCACGTTTACTGGACGGGCCCATGGGGATATGATATACCAAGCGTTTAGCACATGCTGGAAGGAGACGAGGGCGATCATGATGGAGCGGGAACAATGAAAAGGGGATGGACGAGGTGGAGGTCGATGAGGGGGTCGGCAGCGGAGAAGGACGACGTTGGCGACGACGACGAGGACAAGAAGTTTTGGGGAGGGGGCAAAGACACAGGAAGTCAATGACGTCGACGACAGTGGCGAGCAGAAGCGCGGAGGGACCCTCCTGGGGCGCTTCCGCGGGCCGGCGCCGGGGATGGCCGCCATCATCATGGACGCCACCGGCGAGCGGGCGAACGGGGAGACGTACTGGGAGAGGGCCACTTGTTCGAACCACTCGCTCATCCTGCTCCTGCTGCTGTTCTTCCTCCTCATATCCTTCCCTGCTTTCCCCTCTCCTCCTCCTGTTCCGACTCCTCCTGCCTCCCTCGTCGTCCTCCCTTCTCATCCCTCCCCCCCTCCTCCTCCTCATCCCCCTTCCTCACCCTTGACCTTCTCCTCCTCCTCCCCCTCCTCCTCCTCCTCCACCCTCCTCCTCTCTCTACCCCCTCGTCGCCCCCCCCCCTTCCCCGCGGTCGCTCCTGCTCCCGCTCCCTCCCCCTCCGCAGCTCCGCCGCCGCCCCCCTCTCCGCACGGACGACGGAGCGCGGCGGCACAGTACCCTCGCAACTGGAGGCCCCCAAGGATGGTGCACGGCCAGGCCGCAACCCACTGCGAGCGGAGGTGGCACGCCCGCCTGAAGCACCCCTCCGGCGACAACCGCTGGTGCGGAGGCACGCTGATCGACAGCAAAAGCGGGTTCTGACGGCTGCTTCCTGCGTGAGCTCCAAAGGTCGGAGGAGGAAAAGATGCCGATACCGCTGCTCGTCCTGGAGGTCTCGCGCCGCATCGCCGATGCACCGCCGAGGTATCATCGGTGCGCCAGCGACGTCGGCGCTGCATCGGCTGCGCCAGCGTGACGGAACATCGGGCTCCACATCGAGCCTTACCGCCGATGCATCGGGGATGCGGCGCGATGCACCGATCCCATCCACAGTCATGTCATGGCTAACTAGAACGACCAAGCCCACTTTTACAATTCTGCACGTTGAAGGTTCAAGGAACGGCCGAGCCCCCTTTTACAATTCTGCACGTTGGAGGCGTTCCATCGCCGTTGCATTTTTGGCCGGCGACGAGGCGGCGACGGGGCGGCGACGAGGCGGCGACGGGGCGGCGACGGGCGGCACCGGCCAGAAAGCCAGGACTGGGGCCCAGGCGACGGGCGGCGACGAGGCGGCGACGGGGCGGCGACGGGCAGCACCGCCCGGGAAAGCCCGGACTGGTCCCTGGATGTTGAAGACAAGTAAGAACCCCTAAGACCACGCACTGTGTGGGGATGACTAGTGGGAGAAAGAGAGAGACCCTCTGCAGAGACATCCAAGCGGCTTTGGGACCAGAGTTCCGAGGGGTCCCGTTTCGGGGGAGGGGGATTCTCGAGGTTTCGGATCTATCGACACGCCTGAAAAGGGCTCTCTATATATGTATGCATCACTCGTACTAGGGGGTTATACAAGTACATGTGTGCTTGTGCACACAAACATACATATTTAGATACACATAGAGAGATGTTCATGTATAAGTGTGTTAAAATAGATGTGTCCTCGTGCTGGCAATACCTAAAACTATGTTTATACAAGCATCTACAGCAACCCACGGGCCCGAACACACCCCTTTACCACCGCCTGCCGAGGTCCCAGACGAACCGCGCCCCCCCCCCCCCGTTGTGAGGTGGCGGAGAGCTGCCGACGCGAGGGCCTCCCTCCGAGGCGACGCGGCCCAACCGAGAGGCGGGGCGGCCCACGGAGAGGCGGGGCGCCGCCGTGCATCCAGCCGCCCTGGCCCCGGCGGACGTCCGTCCCATGAGGCCACGACGACGGGGACGCATAGGAAGCCCCCCTCCTCCTCCTCCTCCTCCACCTCCTCCTCCTCCTCCTCCTTCCTCCTTCCTCCTTGCTCCTTCCTCCTCCTCCTCCTCCTCCTCCTCCTGCGCCTTACGCTGGACAAACTGAAGCTGAAATGCTGGATTCTTCTCCTCCTCCTCCTCCTCCTTCTCCTCCTCCTCCTCTTCCTCCTCCCCGTTCTCGTTGTCTTTCTCGTTCTCTCTCTTCCTCCTTCTCCTCCTCCTTCTCCTCCTCCTCCTCCTCCTCCTCCTCCTCCTCTTTCTCCTCCTCGGTTCATGGGCGCAGAGGAGGCCTCGTGGCTCAGGGGGCCCGTCCAGGGGCCGACCTCACGAATTCACGCGGGGGGCACGGCGACCGTATCTGATGAAGCGGACCCGGGGGGTGGACAGGGCGAGCTGCGCGCGGACGGACCTGGAAGCAGCAAGATCGAAGGGGCGCAGAGGAGGACGAGGGGGAGGGGGAGCGCGAGGACGCAGAGGTAGGACGAGGAGGACGAGGAGGCAGGACACAGGAGGACGAGGAGGACGAGGAGGTAGGACGAGGAGGAGGAGGACGAGGAGGACGAGGAGGCAGGGGCGCAGGGGAGGACGAGGAGGAGGAAGCAGAGCGCGAGGACGCGGAGGTGAGACACACGCGTGCTCTTGCTCGCTGCCGCATAGTGATGACCTACCGGTCGGGCGCCCGCGC